AAAGCTTGGCCTTAAAAGAAATAAAATCGTGTTATTATAGTTATTTTTGGTACTATAACAACAGTCTAAAATTATTCATGCCTTTCATTCAATCGAAAGCTTTTTAACAGTAAAATCAATGAAGATTTCGATGCAATTATCTGCCAAAAACATTTCCCACGCCATATGGGAAATTAAAAACAAGGCCTTCATGAACGGGAACAATAGACTTAATTAAAATCCGAAACCTGCGTCACTGTTGCTTGTAAATGTAGCAAAATTGAATAGATTTCTACCCTAACAATGAGTCGTGTTTAGAAAATACTGTTAGCATGATATTCAACATTTTGAATAAGTATTACTTGCATATTTAAACGTTTATCCAAGTTTTAAATCTTTAGCCAACGTCATACAAATTAAACTTTTAATAAAGAATTAAAGTCGATTTCAAAGAAAGAAACAGAAATCAGTGCTAATACACAGTGCTAGAAGAATTAAATCCACGATTTCAGAAGCTGTTATGTGAAAATTATTTTATACTCTTTAGTTCTTTGTCCGATGCCAAAGATCTAAAGAGTATAAATAAAAATATTTTACTTAAATTTGTAAAAAGTAACATAGAAAATATTTTTATTTTCTAACCTTCTTGAGTGGGCTAAAGAATTTTTTTATTTATAGGATAGGGTGACAAACGAGCACACAGTCAACCTGATGGTAAGTGGTTGATGCGGTCCATAGACATCTACATCTATCCTCGATTACAAATCAAAATGCAGATGCGTTGTCACCCGTGAGGACTATGATGAAATGCCCCGTTTCCAGTAAAAAGGGTCTCCGGTTCTCTACACTCACCATACGAAACACAGCAACGTTAAGCTACTATTTTACGCTGATATTCTGTGAGAATATCATAAGCTCAAGGCAACAATAAGAATTTTGTCTAAATAGTTCTAAATGTTTAAGCTAGTTAAAGTTACAGCCTACATACGGGAGGATTTTTAGGAAGGAAGTGTCTGTCGTGCTACCGCTATGCGTGTGTGCAAACTTCACATATCTTCGAAATATTCTTTTCTTATTTCTCACACATGAAGGTTTCTTTTTCTTTCATCGCCGAGCACGTGGTTAATCAGCACCCTAAACTGTAATTAACAATTTCATTGGTGCCGGCGGGGATCGAACCCGGGTTGCCCGCGTACTGTGTTTACAGTGAGCGCTAACCATCTGAGCTACCAGGGCTCTTCATTTCTAACTATAATTGGAGGTGAAATTTTTCTTCAAATTTATATGGAAATAGAAAAGAATCATTACATTGAGAACCAATCACAATTCACGAAGATATTACGAAACATACATACAAACAAGTAATTTCTTTTTTTAATTAAAAAAAATTGATACGTTTTTTACCATATTCTAGCTATAGTTCAAATTTGGATGAAAATTGTCAAAATTTGAGCTTCATTAAAGTTAAATTTTATTAAAACTAAATTCCACCCGGAACGAAAGATCAACAGGAAAGTAACTTAATAAAAACGTGGTAAAAGGGAACATACTTGGGACTTGAGGACTAGAGAATGTGCTAAATTGGCCTCTAAAAACTTGTCGTGCTCAGTAGAGTGGAACCATAGATTACTGTATATATACAGAAGGACAGTATTTCAAAAAAAATAAATTACAAGGCGTAAATACTTCCTCACATGGAATACTGTTCTAATATTTGTGCAGAGGCACCCCAGCGCCAGCTACTTCCACTTGACAGCATCCAGCGAAGAGCAGCCCGAATGTTGGCTTCCAAGTTCTTTCTGATCGGCTGCCTATAGGAAGAAATGTTACATTATTTTGCATTTTATATAGCATTTGCCATGGGGAACGCTCAGAGGAATTGCTCGCATTAATTCCAGCTGCCAAATTCTACAAACGCACACCACAAATTAATTCGTCATACCATCCGCACCATCTGGAAGCTTGGCGGTCCACCACTGCGTGTGAGTTTCACCAGAGATTTTTCCGGACTTATGCCACTTAAAGACTTACAAGAAGAGAGGCTACTCCTTTTTTAAAAGGCCGCCAACGTACCCATAAATCCCCTGGTATTGCGGATGCATTAAATTGTTCGTAGCTGGCGGTAGTCACTTAACATCAGGTGATATGAAGTTAATAAGTGGAATACTGCGCACTGATAATATTACTACATATTCAACGTTCCAGAAATATTTTGGAATTCGAACTTTCATATTTCGAACTCTCTAATACTCTACTCTGCTACTCGCTAACTTTCCGTTAACCTAGATTCATGAAATTTGGCAAGAAGTATTGAGACCTTCACAGCACATGTAGGAGAAAAGTCCGAAAACCGTAAATTTATAGTATATCACAAAATATATTTGGCAATTTCAAACCTACATTTGCAGCTGGGCTATCGATCGTAATGTATACCAATGCATCGAAGAACGAATATTTTGTCCACTGCAAAGATAAGTTTGTCATTCAATCAGATTACCTTTTTGCCTATAATAAATGAATTACAGTAAATAAATTATTTTAGTGTAAGTAAATACTTTACTTATTTAATTGCTTGTGTATAAATTAAATATTTCATATCTTTGTAAATCTACTGCATATCGGTAGGAAAACAGGCAAAACCACAATTTATTTTTCGGCCCACGCACAATTTCCATAGTTGCCCGTCACAATACGTCCTCCTCCCCTACCTATCCCGCAAATGAAAAAGTTAAACTACAGTAGTAATGCATATGTCATTACCTTCATAAAATGTTTGTTTGCATACAGTTTACAATAACATTACAAAGTTATAATGCACCTAGTTTTAGGTAATGTTCTATAGAGTTGTAACGAAATTTTTACTAATCCAAGTACATTTTATAAGTTGGTAGACTATTTCTCGTTAACTTATTAATTTTTCTCAGCTGTGATAGTTTTCCTTTAAACTTCATTATATATACTAATATCGTATATACTTTTCACATTTTCAAAAACAACGGTTTAGTTGGTAGAGGGGGGGGACACATGACTCCAATGAAAAATGTCACTTTTAAGCTAAATATTTCGTAACCCTCGGACCTTCGGACCCCTGAATCGAAAAGATGTACCATACTCCCATTGTTTTTGAAAGACCAACAATACGCAACGCGATAGAATAGACGGGTAAAAAACTTCCTCCATTTACCATACACACGGGAGGTACACAAAATTAAAAAAAATATATTATTTCACAGTTTTGTAGACGTGATTAACATCTATAACTATGCCAAATTTCAGATTTGTAGCACTTCTGAGTAAAGTCTAAGTGAGTCTTTCTTGTTGCTACGGAACCCTAAAAATGACTTTCCATAAAAATTACATGTTATCAATTTTGAATAAAAATTATTCTATTCAGATGGATGAGTTTATTCGGAACCCTTAGGGTGCGAGTCCTATTCGCTCCTGTTCGGGTTTTATTGTTTAAAACCTGTACGGAAACAGATGCAGAAACTTTTTATTCAATATAGATTATAAAGAGTACTTATTGTACTTTTTTTAATTTACCACTGGTTCAAAAAAAACTGTCGTTCTGGGAAGAACCAGCAGGAAACCCCGCGGGACTTTATGTTAACAGCTTACAATCATGTATGTCACAATTAACAACACAACAAGTTAGAAATAGCTTGGTAGTGATCACCCTTCCCAGGGGTTATTATCATCATTAAACTCGTTGATAACTTAATAACCTTTTTTATACAAACTCAGTTTAATAAAGTTTTTGAAGTTTGTGCAGGTAAAATTTTGTATCTTTTTGGGATTTTGTTGTAAAAGCATATTACATCACACAAATAATGAATTACTGAGCCGGTGGAGTCGAGTAATTGGTACTACTAGCTTGTGTCTGTTCCTAGTATTTACAGAATGAATATCACTTATTTTTGCAAAACTACTTTTATTTTTGTGTACGTACATTACATTTTCATAAATGAGGCCAGAGTTAATATATTAATTTCCTTAAATTTTTGTCTCAGTGACTCTTTTGGTTTTAAATTATAGATTGTTCTAATGGCCCCCTAATCATATATATTTATATTATAGCAAAATACCATACGACATTATGCTATGTAAACAGCTAAAGTAAACCAGTCTGTTTTCACACTGGTAAGACTTCTCATCTATTTTACAGCATATACTGCAGAACTAAGTCTGCTTGCTAGTTTCGATATATGAGGGCCCCATTGAAGCTTTGCGTCTAGTGTGATTCTATGAAAAATGGTGGTATCAACAAGACTCAGCTCCTGCCCATTTAAAATTACATTAGTACTAACATGTTTGACATTCGAAGTTATGAATTTCATATATTTAGTTTTAGTACCATTTAAATGCAAATTATCAACATTAAACCAATTTACTAATTTATACCTAAGATTTACTTTGTCATAATTTAGTAACTATCATTTTAATTTGAAAATTAATTAAGTTTAATCAGCAATTATTAATATATCATGATTATCCCCTATTATGTAAGGTAAGTCATTAATATATACAAGAAACAAAAAAGGGCCGAGAATTGAGCACTGAGGCACGCCCATTTATACTATCGACCCGGAAGAACTCATACCATTATGACAACTTTTTGCGTTCTGTTACTTAAATATGATATAATTAATTCAAGAGCATCACTTCTGACACCGTAGTGTTGAAGTTTCCAGATTAATGTTTCATGGTGAACACAGTCTATACGTCGTAGAGCCATGCTGCAGTTATATTAGTGGTATAGTTGTACGAGTACTCGTAGTACCAATAATAATAATGATAATAACATATTATGGCGTAGGGAATTGACGACCCCATCGCCCGCTGACGTAACAGTTAAGTGACAAAACTGCTACGTCAATGCAGTCAGTCAGCGCCTTGCGAGAGGTGTGAGCGCCATGCCTCGGCAGAATTTAGGGTGCAAAGGCCCGTTTGTGCTTATGGCCACACACGATACGGTGCCGGGCCTGGGCGTCTCCCGTTAATGGACGCCCAAATAATGGATGATGGATAAGAAGATAGTGCGCAAAGGGCCTCTGCCTGGGGGTCGCCGGGGCGCGTCTATAGCTGGCGCTGGACGCGGCAGCATGCGGGCCGCCAGCCAAGCGCGACGAGCTGCATGGTCACCTAGCAGCCCTCCGCATCCATCATCGCCACCAGAAGGCTTGGTGTCGGCTGGGTCTTCTCGGACTCAGCAAGCGGCACCCGCCGCTGGTGGAGCACGTCGCATGCGTTGGTCACAAGCAATGAATACAAACGCACTGCGGGCGTACTTTAGGGCAAAAGGGGAAGAAACTGGATGTTTGGCGTACAGGGCTAGAATGCATCCTCTTTTTGCTGAGCTGGAGCCATCTTTAACCGTCACAGAGCAAAACCTAGCAGACAGAGTTCGGTATATCTTGCGCTTAAATATATTTGATGTCGCCGAACTCGAACGGCTACGACGTGAGGCTGTTCCCTTATCCGATGAAAATGCTACGGCTGAGGATGCAGCGCCATAAATGATAGAGCAACCCGCAAACGTGGATGCCGCCGTGAATACCCCAGTTGTGGTTGATTCAAACGTTGATGGAACAGTCGCCCAGGAACTGGAATTAGAGCATATGAGGAGTACATTGGAAGAGGCGATTGTGGAAACGCGCAGTACGCCTCTCGAAAATCGACCGCGACTTCCCCGCAAAGCCCTAAGCAAGCGGAATCGGGCTGTCGTGAGGGCTCTGAACCTAATGCTGGTGACCTATTTGGAAGCCAGCCGGGACCTTTGCGAGACGGACTCAATTTTTTTGGCGCCGCGCTGGCAGCCTGCCGTATCATAGGCGCCAAGGTTTCCACGGCTGGACGCGCTACTGGCTATAGTAGCGCTATCCCAGCATGGAGAAGAAGAATTGAGAAACGTATCGCAAAGGCTAGAGCTCTCATCGGCAGACTGATATGCTTCAGATCAGGCAATAACAGGCCAAGAATTGTGCGCACCGTCAGGATGGCGTTTGCTGGGACAAATGTCAGTTTGTCCCAGCCGGATATAACGCAAAAATTGACGGAGCGCATAGATGATCTGAAGCAAAGAATCGCTGCTTGGGGAAAGCGGATTCGGCGATATACCGAGAGGTCGACACGGTTCAACCAGAATCGTCTCTTCCAGAGTGATCAGAAGAGGCTATATGCATAATTGGAGCGACCAATATTAAGTGGAACGGGCCCAGCACCGAATCAGGCCGACACTGTAGCATTCTGGCGCGGCCTGTGGTCAGAGTCCGTAAACCACAGCGAGGGCCTTTGGACGGAAGTTGTGGCGAGTCAGTGTGCGGGTATTACGCCCATGTACCCCGTCATCATAACACCGGATGACGTAGCTGAGGCGGTCCGTAGGGCCCCGAACTGGAAAAGTCCGGGGCTTGACGGGCTGCATCACTACTGGCTGAAGGGGTTTATGGTGTGTCACTCTGTGCTCGCCCGAAAGTTTCAAGAGGCTCTCAACCAGAAGTCGCTCCCAAGCCTCTTCACTACTGGGATCACTCATTTGGTTCCTAAAGTCCAGGGTACCACAGACCCGAGCAAATACCGCCCCATCACGTGTCTACCGACCATATACAAGACACTAACATCCATTTTGAGTGCGAGAATCACTCGTCACCTGGACTCAAATCAGGTGATGTCGCGCGCTCAAAATGGATGTCGGGGCGGTGGTCGTGGAATCAAGGAAACACTCCTCATTGACGCGGTCATTGGCAAAGTGGTGAAACGCAACCGTCGAAACTTCTCCGCCGCCTGGATAGACTACAGAAAGGTATTAGACTCGGTGCCCGATACATGGCTAAAGAGAGTCCACGAGCTGTACAAGATAGACTGCACAGTTAGAGACTTCCTCGAGCAGTGTATGGGGCATTGGAGTACGATCCTTTGTCATCTGGGCGTGCGGAGGATGGCTGCGGAGAACCACATAAGGATAAGAAGGGGTATCTTCCAGGGTGATTGTCTGAGTCCAATCTGGTTCTGCCTGTGGCCGTGGTAGGAAAAGGGGAGATCTCCCGCCGAGCAAGGTGTTCTGCCCGGGGAGCGGCCAACACTCCGAGTGATAGTTCGAAGAAGTTCTATATATACTGTCTATGATTCGGAATGTTAATAGCGCGATTTATGCTTCGGTGTGCTAGTGGCGGGAAGACAGCGCCGCTACATCACCCCCCTGCTCAGACCGGAGGTCGATAGTGCAGTCGAGTTGTCGACGAATGTGTAAGTGCCAGGAGATTGCCTTGTAGTCTGCGGTGAGTCGAGAAGAAGGCAAGTAATCTGCGAGAGTGCCGTGAAGCAGAGGCGAGCAGTAAGGCTCAGAGCCGTGCCGAACACTGTATGGCGCAGAGAGTAGCTTGAAGGAACAGGAAGCATTATTATTCTAGTGCTGCTATGAACCTTGTGAAGCTAGATGGCTTGCAGGATATGAAAACTGCAGACGATATCTGTTCGGGAGAGAATGGGTGGGGTATTCTATGATGTTGATGAAGCTTGAAGTTTCCGAAGGTTGTTGAGTGCGTGTTCAGATCACGTCACGTCGGGGTCACCACTGTGGCCGAGGAAGGAAAAGGGGAGATCTCCCGCCGGGCAAGGTGTTCTGTCCGGGGAATGGCTGACACTCCATGTGATAGTTTGGAGAAGTTCTATATATACTGTCTATGATTCGGAATGTTAATAGCGCGATTTAGGCTTCGGTGTGCTAGTGGCGCGAAGACAGCGCCGCTACATGCCTCTCTCTGAACCCTCTCAGTACCTTACTGGAAGGCTCCGGGAGGGAATTTCAGCTACGGAAAGGAGGGACAAAAGTGACCCACCTTTTCTATATGGATGACCTCAAGTTATTCGCCTCCAGTCGCTCCCATCTTATGGAATTGCTAAACATCACTTGTGAATTTATCAATTCCATTGGAATGGAGCTGGGGACGGATAAGTGTGCAGTCCTCCATGTTGAAAGGGGAAGGGTTGCTAACTCTGAGGGCATAGACTTATCTATTCCCGTCAACTTAGAACCCTTTCCGAGGCTGAAACATACCGATACCTGGGTATGTCACAAAACATCGGTATCGATGAGACTGGTATGAAACAGTCAGTTTGCGACGTGTTTTATGCACGCTTGACCAAAGTGCTTAACAGCCTTTTGTCCGGTGTGAATAAGGCACACGCATATAACGGCTGGGTCATGCCTGTCCTCATGTATACCTTTGGCATACTCAGGTGGACTCAGACTGAACTTAACGCCCTGGATAGAAAAGTCCGCACTACCATGACGTCCCATAGAATGCATCATCCGAGATCGTCGGTAATGAGGCTGTACTTGCCGCGAAAGCATGGTGGTCATGGCTTCTTGACCGCGCTCACCATGCAAATCGCGAAGTGTGCAGCCTCCGTGATTACTTCCTGGCGAGATCGGATGATCCATTCTATAAGGACGTCATTTCTTGTGATAAAGGACTTACCCATCTATCCTTAGCCAACGAGCAATAGCAAGACCCGACAGTGCAGAGCATTTCCGACCGGGAGACCGTATGGAAGGAGAAGGAGCTCCACGGGAGGTTCTACAAGGCTCTACATGAGCCTTTCGTAGACACAGTAGCCTCCCTCAACTGGCTACGCTTTGTCGATCTCTTCGGGGAAACCGAGGGTTTTGTCTATGCAATACAGGATCAGGTTATTAAGAGCAACAACTATCGGAGATACATCCTAAAGGATGGCACCGTCGACATCTGTCGAGCTTGTCGCCATCCCGGTGAGTCACTTAGGCATGTCATCTCCGGTTGTTCAGCGCTTTCTGACTCTGAGTACTTGCACAGGCACAACCTAGTAGCCAGAATTCTTCACCAGCAGCTCGCTCTGAAATACGGTCTCGTGGACCAAAAATTGCCGTATTACAAGTACTTGCCGGAAGCCGTGCTCGAAAATGATCGCGCCAGGCTCAATTGGGACCAGGCCATCATCACAGACAGGACTATTCTTGCGAATAAGCCTGATATTGTGCTGATGGACCGGGCACAGTCAAGGATATTTTTGATCGACATTACCATTCCGTATGACGAGAACCTCGTGAAAGCAAACAAAATATCTGGACCAGGCTCACGAGGTGACCGACATGTGGGGTGGTCTGCCGACCGAAATTATTCCTGTAGTCGTCTCTGCGAACGGGCTAATCCCAGTCAGCCTCTCGGGTCATCTGAGGCGGCTGGGACTACGTGGCGGACCGCTCCAGGCTCAAATGCAGAAGGCGGTGCTCCTCGATACCGCCCGCATTGTCCGCCGGTTTCTTTCCCTTTCCCCCTAACCCTTGGCCGTTTGGTTTCCCCTGCCGAGGACCTCCATCTGGTTGGGCTTTTATTTATTTATTTATTTTTATATTTAGTTTATGTTATTCATATTTATGTATATTTATCTTTTCATTTTCATTTATAATTATATATTTATAGAACCCAACCAGATGAGAAAACTATTTTGATATCCCACAATAATAATATAATAATAATAATAAATCATTTTTTATGTTACCGAACTCGAACGGCTACGACATGAGGCTGTTCCTTCATCGGGTGAAAATGCTGCGGCTGAGGATGCGGCGCCACAACTTGCTGAGCAAATGGCAAATGTAGATGCCGCCGTGAACACGCCAGTTGTGGTTGATGCAGACGATGATGGAACAGTCGCCCAGGAACTGGAACTAGAGCAAATGAGGAAATGAATAAGACACATGCATATAACGGTTGGGTCATGCCTGTCCTCATGTATACCTTTGGCATACTTATATTAGTAGTGTAGTTGTACGAGGTGGAGTCAGACTGAACTTAACGCCCTGGATAGAAAAGTCCGCACTACAATGACGTCCCATAGGATGCATCATCCGAGATCGTCGGTAATGAGGCTGTACTTGCCGCGAAAGCTTAGTGGGCGTGGCTTTCTGAGCGCGCTCACCATGCATAATCGCGAAGTGTGTAGCCTCCGTGAATACTTCCTGGCGAGATCGGATGATCCATTCTATAATGACGTCATTTCTAGTGATAAAGGACTTACCCCTCTATCCTTAGCCAACGAGCAATGGCAAGACTCGGCAGTACAGAGCATTTCCGACCGGGAGACCGTATGGAAGGAGAAGGAGCTCCACGGGAGGTACTACAGGGCTCTACATGAGCCTCACGTAGATACAGCCGCCTCCCTCAATTGGCTACGTTCGGTGACCTCTTCGAGGAAACCGAGGGTTTTGTCTGTGCAATACAGGATCAGGTTATTAAGACCAACAACTATCGGAGATACATCCTAAAGGATGGCACTATCGACGTCTGTCGAGCTTGTCGCCATCCCGGGGAGTCACTTAGGCATGGCATCTCCGGTTGTTCGACGCTTTCTAACTCTGAGTACTTGCACAGGCACAACCTAGTAGCCAGAATTCTACACCAGGAGCTCGCTCTGAAATACGGTCTCGTGGACCAAAAATTGCCGTATTACAAGTACTTGCCGGAAGCCGTTCTCGAAAATGACCACGCCAAGCTCTACTGTGACCGGGCCATCATCACAGACAGGACTATTCTTGCGAATAAGCCTGATATTGTGCTGATGGACCGGGCATAGTCAAGGATATTTTTGATCGACATTACCATTCCGTATGACGAGAACCTCGTGAAAGCCGAAACAGAGAAACGAACAAAATATCTGGACCTGGCTCACGAGGTCACTGACATGTGGGGTGGTCTGCCGACCGAAATTATCCCTGTAGTCGTCTCTGCGAATGGGCTAATCCCAGTCAGCCTCTCGGGTCATCTGAGGCGACTGGACTCCGTGACGGACCGCTCCGGCTCAAATGCAGAAGGCGGTGCTCCTCGATACCGCCCGCATCGTCCGCCGGTTTCTTTCCCTTTCCCCCTAACCCTCGGCCGTTTGGTCTCCCCTGCCGAGGGCTCCCATCTGGTTGGATCTTATTTATTTATGTAGTTTTTGTGTTTATTTTATTTTATTGATATTTATTTTTTCATTTTAATTTATAATTATATATTTATAGAACCCAACCAGGTGAGAAAATTATATAGATACCCCAATAAATCATTTTATTTTTCTCTTCACATAGGTATATAATTTCACATTATTTAATGATTTCTTATATTTACGCGAACACTACACATTGATTAAAACTACTTTTACGGA